ACAATACTTTAACAATTTTCTGTAGGCAATTACTTGAAATAAAGCAGACAGATGTAATGTGATGACCTCATTGCTATAACTGAGCTAGAAAGGAAATTCAGTACAGAAGATAGGAGACATGAAAAGGAATAGAAAACATCAGATTGAGCAAAAATTAGTAAGAGCTTGCCATGCTACTCACTGACCAGAAGAGTGGATTATATACATGAAACTGAAGACTTCAGTACATCAAATGGCAAAAGCCAATCCCCATGGAAGTTACTGGGTTGATGGTGATGGCTAGGATATTCTACATGACTGTAAATTTGGCAAATCAGGGGCAGGTGAGTTGTCAACAGGAAAAACCAAGGCAATAAATACTGGAAAGGTTTTAAACGACTCATACATGCTCTGGTAGAAGTTGTGACATGAGTCTGAGTTAGTTGTGATCTTTCAAGGGGACGATCTAGGCATCACCATGGGCAGCTTGATGAAGACATCTGCTCACTGTGTAGTTGCAGTCAAGAAAGCGAATAAGATGTTAGGCTGTATTAAAGACAGAACAATACAGAAAAATATTACAGCATCTATTTCTCTTAGAGGTGATAATCTCAATGAATATTTGCTGTTTCTTCAGCACCTTAAAAAAAGTGACATATTAGAAAAATAAGGCAGGAAAGTGGTAAGAGAATGGTAGAAGCAGCTCCTTGGAGCTGGAAGGACAGTAAAACTAAGGTAGCTTATTTGTTAATAGGGGGATAGATGAAAAACATCTTAAAAGCAATTATTCCCATAGAAGATACATACTTGAAAGTCCAAAAAATATATGGACCTTAACACCACTTGTTACCATCATCATCATAAGTATTGCAAAAAGTCTCATGTTATTCTTCAGTGCTTACTCATCTAGCTAAACATTTTCTCTGAAGCAACTGCCACAGTTAGTTGAAGTTTAACAGTAATAATTTCTGACAGAGAACTGTCACAGCTGATGCACATTAACAGCTGTCTTAGAGGTGCTGCAATGATAAAAATGTCAATAAGAGAAGCTAACTGCTTGGGCCTCATCTCTGTGCAGGACCCACCAGATCTCTCATTTGTCTGCATGCAGGCCGCCAGAGTGTTGTTTTCTGATTCTATTTGAAGCCCCGTTGTAAAAGGGGAGCAATGAACCTTGAAAGCACCAGCAAAAGCAGACAAAGGCATATTTGTAAGTTACTACTGCATGTTTCTTCAGCTGCAGCTAACTGATAAATCAGGAGATAATAAGTAGGATAACTGCCTCTGCTGTATCTGTATTCCTTCCTCTTACCTGTTCTGCTTACCCCACTCACACCTAAGGTTTTGATAATTTCTTCCCTTTATTTCACAAAACCCCCTCCATGGCCAACTACTTCCCTTTTGTTCATTCCCTTCCTCTATAAATTGCCTTAATACCAGATTTTACAAGTTTTGAAGATTATTCTCTCTCCCTATTTCCCTTGTATCTGCATGCCACTTCAATTTAAGTAAAGGAAAGAATAAGGAGCAGGAAAAAGTGTTTACACATGGAGAGGAGAAGAAAAACACATTCCTATGACAAAGTACCCCTTAGTATCAGGAGTGAACATTTCTGGTTCACATGATTTGAACAAACTTTAAAGCAGCCACATTATAAGAAATGGCTATCAACTGTGAGCAAGACTTTATTTCAGTCATGGGGTTTATAAAATAAAAGCAATATTCATTTTAATATGTGCCACATAAAAACAAAGAGCCTCCTATTAATATGCCATTTGGGTTGCACAGATAATTGAATAGAGGAAATACCAGTTGAGTGCTCAGCCTGAACTTTTTCCTTACTCATACATACTAAAATAAGTCAAATTACATAATACTTAAATAGGACGTATATTACATTCCATAAGATAAGCCTTTGCCAAAGTAGTATTAAAATACTATAATAAAAGCTAATTTTAATAAAGATTTTTAGTCCTCTGTAGAACCTTTCATCAGCCCCAGCCCTTGACAAAGAACAGCTTTGGCCTCACAACATCCCTGTGAGGTAGGTTGTTGGTTATTTTGGTACAGCTGGGGAAACTGAGGCAGAGTGAAATTAAAATACTTGAACACAGCAGCTCAGTAGAAAACCTAAGCCAAATCCCACTATCTTGGTCCCATGCTTCCCATGCTCTTGCTAAGAAATGGGCTTGGCTTCCTTTCAGCACACACAGTTGTTTTAGATGACATTTCCAATCCAATACTCCGGACACACTGCTTTACCTGGTGACTCACTGATACTGTGATATGTTTTTAGTATTTGTACTCTGGCTAAGCAGAACTTCACTGAACTGAGCACTGAACTTTAATAACCTTGCTGCTTCAACACATACTCTGAAGTAACTGAAGATAAACCCATGATGTATGTACCACTTAGAAGTTACTTCATTCAAAAAAAAGTCTTCATAACTATTTAAAACAATGCCTCAGCCTTTAATCATGCAGAAGAGAAAAATAATTTTCTTAAATACACAACTTATTTCCTAAGAGGATTGTTGAGCCATCTTGAAATTTGTCCTCAGTTCTCTCTTTAGGCGACAGGTCAGATTCATACCAATGCAGAATCCTACCTTCTCTGTGAACACATTCCCCCAATTCATTGAAAGGAAGAAATAAAATGTGCTGCCTTCCCCAAGTACTGAACTTTAACAGTTTTGCTGATTTAAAGTCAGATGAATCTGTCACATGTGCAAGCAGTGCCTACCCACACAGCACTTGTCCTATCCAACATCTGACACTCCACTCCCTGCCTCAGGCTATGCACTTAAAGGTATCATTTAGACAACAGCCCTCCTAATCCCTCTCCTCTTACAGCACTATTTGCATAATTCCACTCTCCTTAATTTATTTATTTATTAATCTTCCTTCCTACTCTATTTCACTTCAAACAGAACATGGCAGAACAACAGGTGATGCTTGAGAAGCCAAACTTTAGATACACAATTGCAATGACTTAGACTCCTCAGTTCTGTTTTCTGCTGTCACTTCTTCCTTCAACTGCTAGAGCTTGCAGGCTCTCATATTAACCTCAATACAGACAAGCTGTCTTTCTAACTTTTTCCGGAGTTTATTTGCAAATGTATGTCAGATTTCATCCCCTCTGTACATACCTAATTCATATACCTGAAGTTTCAGTACACTTTCTATTTTCTTATACTGTCTCATAAAAGCCCCTATTTAACATTGAAAACAAGTTGTAACGTCAAAAGCTGAAAACAGGGAGGAAGTTTGGAAACTAAGTTTCAGTCCATCAAAAAAACCTGGATTGTGGCTGTTCATAAAGACTATACAGTACTCAAGGTGGTTTTGGTATAATTTAGCTTCTTGGGCCAATGAGGTATAAGTTTCTGACCATGTCAATATTGGAGGAAATAATATGACTACTCTGCAAGTAAGCAACCTTATTTAAGCACATGAAGCTCTATTAATCCCTGCTCCATTTTAGTTACGGTATTTGAAAGAAAACCACAAGCAGGTTTACAACTGCTCAAACGGGCAGAAATTAGAAAGGCAACTATTGCAAAAGCTCAGATAAGCAAACTCCAAAGATGTGCAGCCCAATCGAATTTATATTGTGTTTACTTGACCTGAACAACACTGGGGTCTCAGCCATGGTGTGGTCAAAGTTTCCAAGAGCTGACAGATGCACTCAGACACCAAAAGCCATATTCCCTGTGGTGTCAGGCCTCTAGCACAACCATTAAAAATTCATCTAAGTTACTGTGGACATTACTGGTAGAACTAGCCACAAATACAAAACTGAAGTAACAGGAGACAGTCACTTTTAATTGTCAATTCCTCTTCATTTGTGAATAAGATTGAACATGACACAGCTAAACTGGGAGAGAAGGGCAGGGGCAAAACTAATCCTCTCCTTTATTTATCATCAGCTCAAGTAAATACAGATTCCAGATACCTACAGCTGGCATTTGGGAAGTCTAACTTAATTATAATTACCTGGTTTTTAGCATTTTAACATCCTCAAATACAGACTATCACTGAGAAACACAAATCCAAACTGTTCTTTTCCCAGTAAGCACTGGACATGTTCAAGTTCTACCAGCAAACTGGTAACTTTATGGCTATGTTTTATTGTAAGCCAGAGAAAGTAAACCAGAACCTTTAGGCTGGGAATTAACAAGCAGCCCACCATAACAGCATGTCACATGCTAGGGAGTCCCTGAAGCAGCACACAAGTCCATCAGATGGACTGGCATCAAGAGTCTCATTGCTACAACTGACAACATGGAATAAGCCTTCAACAAGCATTTTGAAGGAATGAAAAGGACATTCTTAGCATGCCTTAAATGAAAGCAACAACAAACCAGGATAAAGTTGAACTTCAGGGTCTCCAAAGCATACCAAGCTTCTGCAGAGGACTGACTCAAAATTTCAGGCATACAGAGCAATTACAAGGCAGATACTGACAACTGGCATTTTGATAGCTGCTGGCAGCTATACTTTACACGAGAAACACTTCTTTTAAAACAGTTTAACATTCTGTACTATGGAAATCTGCTGCATTTCCGATTTGTTTTCCTTATGCCTCCAGAAAGAAACTGGAACGATATGCTTAAGAGAAGCCCCCAAAGGAACACCTTTAGTTATCACTACCTGATGGGCTCCAGTGATAGCAGCCATGCAGAGGTTATGTTTTTATTCCCCATTCTTTAATTCAGCAGAGGTACTTTGAAGTGAAAAGCAAATCTAAACTTCATTCATACTCAACTCACACAATCTCAAACCAGTCTTCTATGGTGGGAGCAAGAAGACACTTTGCCAAGTAGCAAACTAAACTTTTAAGTATAAATAAAAGCTTACTGATATGCACTGCTACAAGCTCTGAAACAGAGCCCACGTGACCATAAGGACAACTGCCTGCTCCAAGGCCTATCCCTGAAGAGATCCAAATGCTCTGTTTCCTCTGCTATTGTACAGTCATGAGCTCAAACTAAAACGTAAAGACTCACTAGACTCCAGAATCCATGTATATTTCCATTTTATTTGATTTGAAACTTTTACAGGGTTTTCTTGAACTGCCAGGATTCATGCCCAAAAACCTCAGATAAAGGTGGTACAATGGACAGTCTCATCCACCCTTCACACAGGAGACTAAAACTCTATTCATGTGCATTAGCGATCGCAATCTCTTTAGAGCATCAGGAAAAGCATAAGACTTCACATCTCTACCCCATCAAGTGACATGTCCATTTACCATGAATTCCACAGAAATTGTGACAACACTTTTGCTGGCAACAATGGATTTTCGAGGAAGATACAGGGCTCCAAGGTATTGGTATCAGTCTTTCAGTGGGGTTTTGCTTCCAAATGAAGTCTCCAACTTTAGGAATAGTCTCTTGAGCCCTCTCTTTAATAGCAGCTTCTAGCAGAATTTTTATGGACAGTTAACTCTGCAAGGGCAAGGCCAGTTTTAGTCTGTGCTCAAAAGAACCAGGTGAAATCCCAACCCCACTGAAGTCAACAGCAAAATCTGCACTGACCTCAGAGAAGTAAATTTAAAGCAAGTCAGCAGTTAGTCAAAGGGAACCCAACTGGGTGATTCCTGAACTATCCTTATCTTCTGCACATACACAGTACTCTGACACACATAAGCAAGCTTTGTTTTGTTCCCTTGTTTTTCTTGCCATTGGCAACTCTTATGGATGTTGGGTGTGTTTTTTGGCATTTACTCTGAGAAACCTCAACACTGGAGCACACCACTATTGTACTTCATTTCTGGTGTAAAAATTCAGAGAAGAGAAAAGCAGTTACAGCACAACACTTCTGGTACTTGACAGGTTTGGTTCACTGAAACAGTTACAGGCAATGTCCTATATTCCTCGTGTACCAGTGCCATTTTGCCTACTTCCACTAAATTAAGTAACTTTAAGAAGTCACTGCCTTCCATCATTACTAAACTTTCTGACTGTGAATGAACACCATTTATGAGTTATACCTGAAGGACTGCTGCCTCAGACAGCTGCATGCTTCACAGAAGTAGCCAAACAATCAGGCTTACCAGCTTTAGTTATCTCTCTGTATGTTAAGTTAATCTGTTCATCAAGTAAGCATCACTCTTCAACAAACAAATAATTGTTTTTGACAGAAGACAGTTTTTATCTAGTATCGCTACTGCCACATGTCTCATTATTAAAGGACAAATTCTGAAGACTGTAGTTGGATTCTGGATACCTCTGTGTCAAATCAAAACTCCAAGTCTTAGTGCTTTAGGGTGAGAAAGACAAACTTCATGACAAAAACCAAAATAAAACCCTATTTCATTACAACATTTTACCATTATTTAAATATACTGCAAATCGATATCAGAAACAAGGCAGGCATTTCTTTTGTGGATAATAGAAAAAAAAATACTTAGACAACTTAGAAAATGGCTAATGCAAACAAACCATTCAAATCCATCATTCCTCAAATCTGATACTGAATGAGTTTTAATTTGTTTCGCAGTTACTTCCGTACAGCACTCTAGAAAGGTAAACAAACTACAGCTCTGTTGTACTTGGACAGTATGAGTGGTATGGGACATTCCAGAAGTCTCTAGTAGGCTATGGCTACACGTGACAGGATTCCTCAGAAGGGGAACGAACAGGTTTGTCATTAAGGTCACTTAAATCTTTGTTATAGCAAATTGGAACCAAATGGCTGACTTCTGCAGGATTTCTGACAGGAATCCAGTAGAGCTGGTTTCAAGTTTCAGATGGCCACTAAAACAGCTGTAACCTTCTCTTCCAGAAGTTGTGATCCACATGGTGTCCACAATGAGTGCATCAAGTCTGAGGTAGTCAACCTTTACGAAGGCTCAGTATCTGAACATAAAAAGATTTTGAAATGACCACTGGCTGTAGGTATCTTTCTGAGCAATTAAAGCACACTGATGACTCTTGTTCAATCATTTACATTAATTTGCCCCATATCCAATGGAGAAGTTGCAACATATTATGCTTCCATAGTGCAGGAGAACCAATCACTTATGTCAAAGCAGTCTGCCTTGCTGCAGTAGATCCAGCAGAAATAAGGTGGCACGTTCATCATAGCTGTTAGCTGTAGTTTAGTTACCTTAGTAGAAGGGTTACCAAAAAAGCATTCCTTAATTGTAATGTGTGTGCAGCTCTACTGATCCCCAAGCACAGCATACTGGTTGTCTAGCTGAAGTTTAAGTGCCTGGTTTTTTGAGACCTCATCCCTACCTCTAGTTTTGTATTTTACTACTTCAAAGCTCTTCTCCATTTCTTTATCCCTATGGGAAAATAAATGTAATCAGTAAATATCTTGTCACTAACTTGCGAATTGTGAACTTCCAGTCCATTTCCACCCCATCCCAACAAAAACATTACAAATACAGAACAAAGACTAAGATCTAGAATTTAACAGAACACCTAAACATTCCCAAGCAAATATTTTAAAATCTTATCTCCAAAATAAGCTCATCACCCAGTACACCTTACATTAGCATTCCCGATTTAAATTTAAGTAAATTCATTTAAATTTAAATTTTTAAAAATTAGAATTATTTATTAAAGTACCTGACAGTAAATTTAACCTATTTATGAAAAATAGGTTCTAGAAAGCAGAGTTTTCTAGAATGCTCATTTAGAATTTCATCTTGGCTCAATGTGCACCATTCAAATCACAAAGCATTAATAACAGCACGTCTCCTTTGCTACACCAAAAGATTCCCAGAGGAAACAAAGCTTCTCCTAAGCTGTATTAAACAGTAACATAGCAAGCAAGAGGGGGAAAAAAAACCCCAAGAACAAAAAACCACCCCAAATCCCCCAAGTGAATTAGGTATTGACCTAGCCATCTCTTCTACTGGGAATAAGGTTATAGAAAGATCAGGACTGAAAGATAGAGTGAGACCAAGTCTTCAGCACCACATAATACAAAACACTTCAGCAAAACTGGGGGAGCTTGTCTCCGTAAATCACAGCTCAGACAGCAAGTGTATTGATTTGTAATTATACTGCACTCCTCCAGTTAAACTACTTCCACATCTCTAACAAGAAAGCTGCAAGCTCAGGACTTCTACTGAAGTCCTTCTCCTTCAGCTCTGCTGAAGGAAGTAACACAGAGCCTCACCATGGCTAGTCTAGTGTCTGAGGGAAGCAGATGCTGTCAGCACCAGAAACATTCAGCAAAATTCTTCAGCTGTCAAAGAACACAACTGGCAGTCTTGTTTGGCTATCTCACTGTGCTACATCCTATGAAAGTTATTTCACAGGAACAGAGTTGGACAACACATTTATCACCCCTTAGTTATCCCTCTCCTATATGGAAAGATTCAGGTTTAAGCACTAGGACAACATAAGAACTTAGAGAAGGCAGTTAGAGATCTCTTGGGCAGTCAGTGGAATGCACTTACTTTCGACTGTCTACGAGCTTGGCGGTGGACTGCAGTGAGGGGAACTGCGTGTCACTGTAGATCTCTGGGGGTCCCTGCTGTGCTCTCCGTGGCCGCCCGCCTTCCCTGGCCCCCGGCGGCCGGTACACGCCGCCGGTCTGCACCGGTTCTGGAGTTTCTGTAACTAGGAACAACAACAGCACTCACATGGGGGAACAAGTCTGCATTCATCGCTGAAAAGAACCCAAAACAACCAACACACAAACAAAACTCCAAAAAGAAGAATTGAAAAGAATCTTATAAGTATGTTTTTCCACCTTTTAAGTTTTGGAAGCGAGTTTTAGATAAGGTAGGAAATCGGGTGTCACCTAACTTGACCTACACTCAGTCAAATTGAAATGTGGCTCCAGAGTATTGTCTGTCAAAGTTTAGGAAATCTGAACTACTAGCAAGGACTTCATGTTTCTTGTTTGCAATTTGTTAGCAAGAATTTAAACACATTTAAAACAAATCTAAACACATAATTATATAGATACCAAATCTTACTTAAAACACCTCTCCAGATGCAGAGGGGACCACCCAAACAGTTTGCACTTAAGGTAAAAATCTAAGATGAAATAACACTAATTAGATTTGCCTCCTTTACAAACAAGAAAGAATATAGGCTATTTTTCAATTAATTTCTCAGTGGAAAAGAATATTCCGAACTCAGAAGATGACTGAGTAGTTTATCACCACTGACATTAATATACTGTAGTTTATAAAAAAACTGAATCCTATCCTAGTTAAAAGAATCAATTTTGCAATGTCATGTTCTCAACATTTTAAGAACTCATTTGAAAAGTGTGTCAATGGCCAGATACTGGCTGAAAATCCACTGAAGTGTTAAAGCAGCATTTTTAGATCAACAGAAATGCTTCCAACAGGTATTTTAGACTGCAAAACAGAGGAATGTCCCGCAAAGGCAGACTGCTTCCCCCCGTTTTGAACTTGGAAATAAACCCTTCCACATGGGTTTATAATAACTGATAGACACTTTAAAATCAATTCTGTTCCTCAGATCCCTTGACACAAAGATTTCCTTGATGGCTGGCATGCCAAAACAGCCATTAGTTCATTAAAGGATGCCTGAACAGGAGCTGCTCCTTGAGCTCTACCCACTGAGCAGCTTAATTCAACCTGATGCACTTCTGATTGGAAAAAAAACAAGTCTGAGTTTAATTTACCAATTGGTTCAACGACGGGGGCTGGGGCAGGAGCTGACTTGTTCCAAGGACCAGATGATCTGTCTACACTACCACCACTACCAGTCTCTTCCCAGCTGTCACCAGGTTCTTCTCTTTTTTCACTTTCATCATCTTCTTTTTCACTGTAAGAGAAAAACGATCAGTAGTACCCTACAAGCAGAGGTTTAAGATTTGCCAGAGATTACACAATCCCCCTAAGACAAGATTTCATGGCTGCCATGCTGAGGATACTAAATTAAACTAGACTACACTAGTCCTGTACTCACTGTACTAGCAATTCCATCTGAACAATTTCTGGCATGATGCTACATAACTTGGCAACTGAAAAGGAAAAAAGCTCCTAAAAGAAGAAGAATAAAAAAATTCAACTTGAACAAAGTGATCAAAGAAATTGGCATCTTATTTTGAGCAGAAAGGCTTTTTTCTTAATAACACAGACCTGCATTTGGAAGGGATGACAAGATAGAGCAGGAAAGGTTTACAAGTCCAGCTTCTATAAAATGCTTTAGTCAAGAGGAAGAAATAGTGGAGTAGTGCTGAAAGAAAGCAAGTCCTGAGCTCACCTTTCCTATAACCACAACCACCTAAGAAACACCCTTATATGTATGGGTAATATACAATCCACGAATAAACTGAGATATCTTTTCTTAAAGCAAGCAACAAAAAAAAAAAAAAAAAAAAAAAGCACAAGACAGAAAAATGTAATTCTTTCAAAGACAGACCCAATGCAAAAGCTCAGCTGTATTTTATTTTGACTACTTTATTTTTATTTTGCATAGATGTAGTCAGACACACAAAATAATTTGCTGGTCAAAGCTACTACAGAAAGCTGTGGTAAAGGACAGATGTGGAGGGTGAGGCTGTTGAAAAGAATCAAGACACTGATCTCAACAGCAGCAACATGTGAACAATATGTGAAGTTTATAACACACCAAATGCTACTAATCATGATCTGTGTAAGCTTTCTGTGTAAGTAATGGTCAGAGAACAGAAAAATATGCCTGTAAATGGCCTTTCACTGTTCATCCAAACATAGTAACAACCATGGTAAGGTGGCCCAAGGGCCTAAACACCTCATTTTAAATGGTAAGTCAGAAGCATTGTCTACAGACTCAACTACAACAGAGAAGCACAGGGAGCACCCCAACACCACCAGACACTCTGTATATCTTTGCTTCATCAAAGAGACCTCCAGAAATGGATAATTTATAACCTCTAGTGGGTTTTTCTTCCATTTACTTCTCCACTCTTCCCCCAAATCCACTAATTGAATGGTTACAAAATCCTGTGGCAAAAACTTCCACATGCCTGAAAATCTGCCACAGTATGAAAAATATTTGGAATGCTGGCCTTTGTCTGGAAAACCAAAGTAGAGGCTTTCCAAACAGGACCAGCAGTCAGTGAAGCTGCAGGTCACTGGCTGTCTAATCAGACATGTGATTATCCACTGTGACACTTCAGCACTGTAGACAGCTTGTGGGACAAATTAAAGAAAACAGCCCAAAGGACTAGTTAACTGAAAGGAGTGGGGGAAATGCTATGATCCAAAAGAGTAAATGATTCCAGAACTGTCAGACCTGCTCAAACAGTGAAGAAAGCATCTATTGCACTGGTTACAGGCACACTGATTTTAAGATGACATTATTTTGAACATCAATACCTGGACAATGAGGATTATCTGACATTCTCAGTCTACAACTGAGGTCATAAAAACCCTTTTTCTGACCGGATGGAAAGTTGTTTTTTTTAACCAGGACAGACATAAGTAGACTTACTTTCCACCAGACAACAGGAAAAGTCTAATAAAAAAAAAAAACCAAACAAAGAACCATGGATTAGATTCACCAATCCTGTGGGATTTTATCATGGGACACTACTTTTACCAACTGTATTTTTGGTTTTTGGAAATTCAAGTGCAATGTTTCAGGAATTTGCTCCCCAACTGAGTAGATAAAGTCAGATACCCTTACAGCAGTCAAATGATTCAGTGGGAAGTTATCCTGCACTACTCCTAGGAATTCCTACTTGACTATCTTTATGGAGCAGAATGTTAATGTTTAAAAAAATAAAAATCCTGAGTCCCAAACAAAACAGATAGCTCTGCTGAGTATGAACAGAGATTCAGAAAATAAAGAGAACACTGGCAGAGACTAGTCAAAAGTTAAATTAACCAGTACCAAACTTGTGTACTATCAAAAACATATCACACCTTTCTTTAACTGGACTCCATGAAAGCAGCTCTGTAGAATAAACCCCATCCTTTTTAGACATTGGTAAGGATTATATATATATAATATATATACTGAAGAAAACATAAAAAGAAAAAGTACTACCTTATTTGCATGGACTGAACTCTAAGACCGCTATAATCAATTTCTTCCTTTTGTTCAAACTCCTTCCAATCATCCTCTTCCTGTAAGAAGAGAAAAATAGAAGTTGTCATTTTCTCCGAAACCAAAGTAGAAAAGAAGAACATAACTAAATAATACAAAAAAAACCAACCCCGAAGGTGAAGGTACAGTTCCAGGAGAAACCAAACTGTGTGCCCCACTGCCAAGAGGGGAAAGGACTGCACGCCTAAATCACTGTGTCACAGCTTTCAGGGATGCACCTGAGAGCTGACTTAACACACTACAACAGCTAAGAAATGCCCCAGCAAAAAGTCATTCAAGCAAAGAAACCACATCACCTCAGCAAAGACACATCAGGAAATCAAGCAACAACACAGTATGGAACACAAGCCTGCAGTCATGACCAGGGCAACACAAGAGCAAGACCTTTCCCTTTCGCTAACAGTAGGCTTTTACAACAGCTTGAATGCTCACAAAGCTTTAAATTCACTTTTCCATCGCCAATTTCACGAGCCAAACAGAAAATAACATTTGGAATAGCTTACAGTGGATTTATGACAAAGATCAATAATGGTACATTTGACTTTTTCACACTCACAACTACATTTACAGCCTTGTTTCCTAAGCAGCGTTTTCCTAACAGTAGAAAGGTCACCTTCAAAACCACAGCAATCTTAGCACACAAAATGTGTGTATCTTTCAAGAGAACCACTTGAGGGTTCTAAAATGGGAGTTTGTTTGGGGAAAGAGGGATTCACCTATGTGGAGGCAATTTTGTCCTACTGTGTCACCAGCAGATTCTGGGATTATTAACACAGACCAAAAGTGGACCAGAACAGACAAGCAGTCCTCCCATTTTCCCAGTCCCAGCTTTAAGACATCCAAAGCCTAATTAGTTTACCTAATTCTTACATTCTATCTGAAATGCAGTTATATTCTTCCAAATAGGAGGACCTTGTGAGCAAGGTCTGCCAAAGGTACAGCCCCCTTTCCACCGAACAGCTGAGAATAAATCTGCTTTTAGAGCCCTGGGATGGGATCTCCTCGACAGTCAATCCCCAACAGAAAAAACTCTGACCTGCTTTAGAGGGGCAGCAGAAGTAGGAAGTGATCTCATGTTGACTGCACTGTCTGCTGCAGATTCAGTCTTCTGGAAGAGCAGCACTCTACAGTTCTAAAATCTTTTAGATTTCTTAAATCCCCATCTCCATGGAAACATTAGTTTCCAAGCTAACATACCTTTCACATTTAATGACTTTTGTTTCTAATCCAAGTACCAGCCTCAGTCGAAGCCAGATATTTTGCAAGCAAGTGAGCAAAAGAGCAGCTGAAAGATTAGCACTGACCTTGATCTACTTAGAAAGCTACTGCACGTGTCAAGCTCCCCAGGTGAAACAACAATAGGAAACAGGAGAGTATTTCTTAAAATTCATTTTGAAATATACAACATTAGAGCTCTTGTATCAATCTAGCACAACAAGGTAATATCCTTAAATTACTGATCCTCTACGTAGGCACGAAGGAAGCAAGGTATCTAACTTCCAAAAACCCTTTCTCAAGCCATCTTTTTACACTCAGAGTATAATGTTATAAGGATAAAGATTCAATTTCTAGCAGTAAGACAGGGAACACATCCTCAGATTGCTACGTGCTGAAGCCACCAAAGGAAAACAATACCAAGAGACAAAAAAAATCAAACCAGAAACAGAGATAAAAGGCACAAGTAATTTTTTAGGTCCTATCTGTCTGGTCTACAGAAGACAAATACATAACAAAGGTACTGCACGTGTCAAGCTCCACAATTAAAAAACCATCAGGCAGCAGTACAGTATTTCTTAAAATTCGCTTGAAAATACGCAGCATTAGAGCTCCCATAATTACTTTTGGTTTAAATCTCATTACTTCAGAGCTGATATTGGTGACAGGAAGAACAAGGGCGGAGGAAGAAACAGAGAGCTACTAAACTACGGACATTTAAGCTTCTCCTGTATTCTCATCGTTTCACCGTATTATGCTACCAAAAAAAACCCCAAAAAAACAACAACAACAAAAAAAAAACTACTGGCAGCAAAACCCTGCCTGGCAACGAGGCACAGAGCTCGGCGGACTCTGGAGGAATCTTATCGCCAAGGTCCACACGCCACGCTGCACAGTCCCAGGTGGCACCTGACGCCTACCTCCGGTTCCGGCCCCAACACCCAGCAAGCCGGGAGGGAGCGCCGGGCTGCGCCGCAGCTGCAGAGCGGGGAGGGGCCCAGCCTTCTCGCCTCCCCCAGGGCAAGGACCGCCGAGGAAGGCTCCCCCCGCCCCGCCAGCAGCACCGAAGCGGCGGCAGCGCCCGCCCGGCGGCCCCGGGGCGGGGCCGGGAGCGCCGCCAGCCCCGCACGGCCCCGGGCGCCGCATGGCCGGGCGGCGGCGGCGCCCCCTGCCGGCAGGAACCCGCGGCCTCCCCGCCCGCACCTTGCTCGCCGCCTTGGCCGAGGAACCGCCGGCGGCGCTGGAGGCGGCGGCGGCCCCGGAGCCGCCGCCCTCAGACGGTCGCGGAGTCCCCGCGGCCGCGCCCGCCGCGTTGGAGCCGGCGTTGGAAGCGCTAGAGGCGGCAGCGGCGGCGGCGCTTCGGCTGCTCTTCTCCTTCCGCTTCTTCTTGTCACGCTTGGCGAAGAAGTCGTCCAGGCTCCGCTCCTCGGTCTCCGCCATGGCGGCGGCCGGGTGGGGAAAGGAGGGCGGCGGCGGTCCGGGCTAAGAGGTGAGCGGCACGGCCCTCCCGCTGCTCGGCGAGCGCGGCCGCCCGGCTGCTGCGGCGGCGGCGGCGGCTCCTGCCCGGGCCCGCCCGGCGCCCCGCGCACCCCACGCCTGACGCGGCCCGCAGGGAGCGGAGGGGCTGAAGGGAGACGGGGCGGGGCCGCGCCCCCGAGCGCGCACGCGCTGCCACGCAGCGGCCAATGGGCGCCGCCGGCCGCTCGGGGGTGGCTCCAGAACGGGGCGAACGGCGCTGACGTTGAGGCGCGTGAGGATGCGCGCGGCGGGCGCGGGGAGGGCGTCGGCGAAGCGGCCGCAGATTGGCCGAGCCGGGCGGGACGGGGCGTGCGCGCTCGGGGACCGGGCTCGCGCCGGCCGCTCCCGCCCCGCCCTTCCGCGTCCGGGAGCCGTGGGGGCCGTGGGAGGGACACGGCGGGCGCCGGGCGTGGGGGCTGCGGGGCGCAGCGGGGGGAGTGCGGCCAGCAGGGCGAGAGAGGTGATCCTGCCCCTCTGCTCAGCCCTACTGAAGCCACATGTGGAGTCTCGTGTCCAGTTCTGGGTTCATCGGGACAAGAAGGATGAGCTATTGGAGAGAGTGCAGTGGAGGGCCGCAAAGGTGATTAGGGGACTGAAGCATCTCTTCATGAGGGCAGGAGAGACTGCAGGAGCTGGGCCTGTTCAATCTAAAGACACAGTCGGGGGCTCTCATAAATTTACATAAGTGTCTCCAAGGCAGGTGCCAAGAGAGTTCCGGGCTCTTTTTCATGGCGCCCAGCAACAGGAAAAGGAGCAATGGCTGTAAGCCAAATAATGAGAAATTTTACCTTAGCGTGAAGAACTTATGTATATTGAGGATGGCAGAGCACTGAAAGAGGCTGCCTGGAGAGGATGTGGAATCTCCTCCTCTGGAGACATTCAGACCCATCCTGGATGCGTTCCCATGTCATCTCCTCTAGGTCACCCTGCCTTTGTAGCAGGATGGACTGGATGATCTCCAGAGGTCTCTTCCAACCCTAACAATTCTGTGATTGACACCAGCAGAGCTCCTCTGGAAGCCCTTGGCTGCTTCCTGCTTTGGGTGCAGGCCCTTTCTGTGAGGACCAGGCCAGGAGGCTGCAGGAGCTGCTGGAGCAGCCCCAGTCCTCAGCTGGTCCCTCAGGCTCAGGGCCAGCCCAGCTCCCCCAAGCCCTTGAGGAAAGGTGACATTCATTCCCAGCGTGGACTGTGCTGCCTCCCACACCCCAGCAAGGGCTGTGAACTTACACTGTCATTGCCCAGGATGCAAGGAAGTCATTTAGCTTTCATCTTGGGTCTATGTGGTTAACTGAGTAAGTCTGGAAACACCATTCTGTCTAGGATGTCTGGATGTGCTGGCCTGAGCTTCCTAGCTGCTTTTCTGACTGGCATTGAAGCCTAGAGAATACATGCTGGAAAACAAGCTCCACAGCTGGTGTCTGCAGAGTGTTCCCTCTCACTTCGGGTACTGTAGTGACCTTTAACTCTGGGAAAAAACATGGGTGTTTGAGAAGTTCACTGTGGCTTCAAATCACGTCAAAAGCTTTGAGGCAGGACATTTGGAAGAACATCCTCAGCCTGTCATGACTCATAAATAATTACATGAAACACTGTTTCCAATTACTTACTTCTTTCATCAGCTATCCAAAGGAGATAGAAGTTCCTACTGGTAAAGTGAGAGCCCAAATGAAAATTACCCATCAAATATGTATTGGTTTGAGTTACAATTATATAGAAGTAGGCATGTTTGTATTCTGGAGTTATTTAGTATAATTCTGTGCATGTCATATTTTCACTTGAAATGATTATGTATGTATTAGCATATAAATTAAAAGTTTTTCCACCCTTTGGAGGTTGTCAGTCTCAACTTATGTCCATGACAATGCTGTTACTTAGTGCTTTCCATCCGTATTTCTCAGGTTGCTTGAAAAAACAGGCAAGGTGCCGTTGACGCTGCAGAAAGAAGTTAAATACACGATGTCTTCATGAAGTGTTTTGTAGCTGTAACTGAGCCATTTCACCTGTGGGAAATGTGTTACAATCCTCCTTTGATGCATCACTCGATGTCCTCCTCGTATTTTTACCACCTGTGTACTTAGAGGCTTTGAGCCTGCACAGAGCAGGCCCTAGAGAGCTAAAAGTTGCAAGCATAACAATAAATTTGGTAGCACCAAGAATGTGATGTGATCAGTGACACTTTCCATTTGTGATAGGACTCATTGCTGAAGCAGGGAGCATATTTGGTAGCAAAATCTCATTTTTCTGTGCCTCCTGGATACTCCCTTCCTACTGTCCCCTTGGGATGATGGAAGGTCATGGGGAAGGTGTGACAGGGAACGGCTGGGTGTGGAAGAGTGTTTGACATTCCTGTTGTCAAAGGCCACATTCCCTTCTGTTTGTGCTCTTTTATTTCCTGGGAAGCCAACAGACCTCCAGCGCTGCCCCATGCTGGGACTTGCAGGCTCAGCACTGGTAATACCATTCAACTGAGCAGACAGTTTGTGTCCCTCAGCTTTTGTGGTAGATAATGTACTAAGCACAGTGCTTTGCCTGATTCTAAGCTAATAATTTCTTGAATTTCAGCAAGTGATAAAATATTTTCACTGTATTATTATGGATAGCCCCATTATCAGGCTGGAGAATGCAAACCCCAGTGCCTTTTTGCAGCTTTTAGCATCTGCGTCACTTGTCTCTTGCAAACACAGTACTGTAAGGCTGGAACGCCCAGCTCTGGATTAGAAACTTAATACCTGTCAGGAGCAGTGCACCAAGAAACATTTCAGCTGTTAAATCTGGAACAGACTCAGCAGAAATCATGGAAAATAGCAGCAACATTTTATGCCTCAGAAGGCTTAGATCCTGATTTGCTGCTTTAAAGGAAGCATTAGTTATGCAGTTATGCTTGGATTTACCTCCCACCTCTAGTTTTATTTTTATGTAAAGTTGCAAAAATGTGCTGATGCATGGCATTTGTATTTCTGTGCAAATGCATTGCTTCAGCTTTTACCACTGAGATTCTTATTATGTAAAAAGATGCAGGAAAAAAAGTTATTTTTTGTGTTTTTCTTTTCCTTTCTCAAATTCTATGTCCCTCAATACTTGCACAGAGGACACTTGGCTGAAGAATGGCTCACAGGCATGGACTGGCAGAAGTGATGTTTGTAATGCAAGGAATATATCCAGAATGCCACATTGCTGTGCCGGGAGCACGAGCTCAGCACACGGCTCCCTGCTGCACTGAGAATCACTGACCTGTGTGACCTGCCCTTGGCAAGACACAGGGCTCTGAGTGCCTCTGCTCAGCTACAGATTTACCTCCAGGACTCCGAGGACTTTGTCTCTCTCTCCTCCCCCTGCAGTGCTGCTTGTCTGCCTCTTCTCCATTCTGGAGCTGTGACAAGTCCTGCCATGGCACTGCTCCCTGTGCATCTTGGTGCATTTTATAAAGCCTGAGCTGTGAAGCACTACTGCATGTAGGGAAAGTGGTGCAGCAGCCACTTGGAGAAACCAAAGGAAGGAAATTTGGAGTGAGTTGTGGGTGATGCAAGAATTAGGAGCAGACTTCCATTTCCAGTCTGCCAGTGTTTCATCTTCCTTTGTACCCAGTTACCTCCATTCTGTGACATGAAGGTGACAGCACTACGAACTGCATTGACATTTGCAGAGCAAAAGCAGAAGAATAATCAGTAACTCCTGGGCAGATGCCTGCTTAAGGAAATTGGAGAAGGTGCCCTTAGGTGCAGAGTAGCTTGCAGAAGGGTTCTGGTGGAGTCCTTGTCACATCATGGGCCCATTCCTATTTAGGAGCTTAGCCTTCCTCTAAGCTCTGAGTTTGGTGTAATTTCAGACCTCTACAACCAGGAGGGAGAAGTTTTATCATGCTCATTTCTCCACCATGGATTGCCATCTGAACCCAGGCACTGGTGCCAGCAGTGCATGGTGGTTTGTTAAACTGTTAAATTTTAGACAAAGCCAGAGTGAAAGTGACCTTAAAAAAATCTTTTAACCACAGAATCAGTATAATAGTTCTTATACTAAAATAGAAACAGTAGAATGTTAGGCTAGAATACCCGTTTCTAGCTGGTGTGCTATGTTGCTGCTCAGTGTGAAATCTTAAATGAGGCAGGGGCTCACATAGAGCTGGCACCCTCTCCTTCCCCCAAGGATGCAGCAGTGTGGGTTCAGGCTGTGGTGCAGAAGAAGTTGTGCCTGGCTGGGAGGAGTATAAAGTACACATCTGGTTTGACAGCACAGCTCATCTGACCTAGTGATTAGCTGTCACCAAGGGGGTGGCTGTGCTTTACAGTCCGGACTAGTTTCCCTCCCATCCCTGTGCTGCCATTGCTACATGTCTGTCCCTGCAGTGGCCAGATTCAGGAAACCAAGTGTCAGGAAAGTTTGCCAGCATTTTGCAGGACTAATTTTCTGCTGATTTTGAATCTTGAGCTGTCTCCTGAGACATCAGAGAGATGTTGGTGCTAACACGAGATTACGCAATGGGAATACATAGCACATGAGGGGGAGCTGAGGTGTCTTTTTGTGCAGCAGCTGGCTGTTAGATTGTATTATCTGTGCTCTCTGACTGCATCCTGAGTGTTCATAACAGCAAATGCCACAAATTCCTTCACAGGAATATAGAGGTGAGAGATACTGCAGTGGGAGATAATAAAATCTGTTTTCTGGTGCTGATTTTCTATGGAAAAGCAGCTGGAAACGTGTTCATGTGTATTTAATAAAGCAACTGCTGGACTAGAGGTTAAATATAAAGCTAAATCAGTTTATGAACCTTAGTGCTTACAAATAGTTGTGAAAGTCTCTCATACTCTCAATATCCCATCTCTCACAGTGAAGACTGTCAGTGCTTAGACAGCATTCAAGCAGCCTGGAGGGGCTGCATAGCCAGCCAGGGACTCACAGGAGTCCGTGTAAAAGTGCAGAGGGATTTCTTCACAAGAGCTTTAGCACTTAATATGAAAACACTTTGATTTAGAGGGGCCACATGTGCTACATTTGACTTCTGATGGGCTACTCCCAAA